AGTTTCCAAACTTCTCTTGTAGCTAGTGTAAAAAGCATTTTAACTTCAACAGAAATTATCCCCCCCTTACCCTCATCTCTGAGTTGCTTTTTCATCTCCTTCATTCCTTAACTCTTTTCATCCGTATTCCTTCCTCATTCATTTCAATTTACAACAACAATAAAATATATCAGCCGTAAATTTTATCGTCTCTTCTAAAAACTTCCTGATGTCAGCATCACTTACAGCTGTGGTGCTTCTTTGCTGTGCGACGTAGACGTATTTGAAAGTGAACAGATTCATAATTCAGTTCCATCGGTTTTCCGACGCTGCGACAAAACTGTACACACAGCGGAGGTTGGAGAGAAACATAAATTTCCCCACTCCCGAAATACGAGGATTTCATCTGGCGAAAATTATTGTACGGGTTTACGCGCTAGTCACTCGATGGTTCAAACCCAGTTATCGACCTGCAAGTCGATATCAGGTCTGGGACAAGCAGAAAGGTGGGTGTCGATAAACGTTCAGAGTTAAACAAATCAAATTCTCTCTGTAGCTTTTATTATTTTTTGTAATTTTGTGTTCTTGAGTTTGATCCCGTTGTCAATAACGTGGACAGTCTGGCTTTGTTGTCGTCGCTATTGTTATTGCATTTTAACATGACGTTCAACTAGGTGTAACGCCACGTATGGATAAAATGTACCGTGTTGAGACAATATGTAGTAACACAATGACCCGTTTTCTATAAATCTAGATGAATTTCGATTAAGCTTTCTGTAAAATATGCGATATATTGGGCCATTTCGTACATAAACCAAATTCAACTGCCTACGTTTGGTGTGACTTCGTATATTATATTTAACTAAAATTCTTTTGACAGCTTCAGAGATTAAACATGCGGAACTACAGATAAAAGCAGTAATTTACGAAGAAATTTTTAAAATGTTCCTTTGTTTCCAAGTATCAAGTGTTCACATTTCCTGGAGGTAAATACTTGATCGAACTCGGTATAGATGGCATTAGATCGAATGTAGCAGTCATCAAAGTGTTCAATGTAAGAAATGAAACAGTTTATGCAAGAAGGTGTTTTAGTTGCAAGTGAATTATTACTATATAATAATTTTATTTTCCGTCCTTACACAAGCTTATAGATTGTTAAAATTACATAAAATTATAACATTTCAACATTTTTGATATTGTTACATTTTAAAATGTAACAATATCAAAAATGTTGAAATGTTATAATTTTATGTAATTTTAACAATCTATAAGCTTGTGTAAGGACGGAAAATAAAATTATTATATTGAGGAACACAAGCATGATGCAATTAAGATATAAGCTGAATTATTACGTTTAGCGTAGTTGAAGCTGGCGACATAAAGGAAGCTTAATTGTAACAAAAGTATCCTATAAGCACGATATAATTCGACAAACTTTAACGTTATTCGCTTCTGAAAACCTCGACATTTTGTTTTACTCGGCCAATTCATGCCAACTACTATCGAACATCCTGGCTAGTTACTGGAATGATCAAAACATTTATTAGTTCAGACTAAATTCTTTCAAAATTCGAGTAATTAGCAGTTTACATTTATTGAATCGTCTTCCAGGTAAAAATCGAACGCGAAATGATTTAACGTAAACCCGCTTTTAGACATAAAGAATATAAATTAAATTTTGTGTGTGGCAGCCATGTTTCGTTGGGCGTGATCCAGAAGCTGTCGACTGACGGCGAACAAGGGAGTATCCAGCGATATAAATATTACTGTAATGTCGCTTTGACAGCGCGACTCCGTATTTACATTACGTATGGACCTCGGGAGACACATAGCGGACGAGGCAGTCCATCTTGCTGTTAGAACCTCTGCGGAAATAGTGGAAAAAATGACCTACTCGAAAATTTAATAATGTGTTTACGAAAAAATCTTTCCGTCTCATCAGCTACGAACTGGTCCAATTCCAACACCTGACGCTGAGGGATTTCAGATTAAACACGAGGAGGATGGTGCCCGAATTGGAGTTACTGAATTGAAAATAAACGGAATTATCTGGTGGATAATGAATGTATTTAAAACCTGAAGAGATTGTAGACGAAATTAGAGAAGCTTTTCAATTCAGTTTATGACATTAAATTGGTTGCTGCAAAGCTACTCACTCACACTTAATGGTTTTAAAATATCTTTTATTGATATTTAGCATACTATATTAGCATTGTTAATTTATTGTTCGTTTAAAGTTACTGTAACATACATAAATCTAATTTCCCAATCAGACGTTAAATGCACACTGAGTTAGCAAATATTTCATTTAAAACCTAAAAAATATGTGAATAAAATTAGGGGTTAAATCAATTCAAGTTTTTATATTTAAAAATACACATGCTAAGTGTTGTCAAAGAAAAACAGATTCTCATGTCTACCATTTTAATTAAATTTAACATTTATAGTTCCAATATTTATTATAACGACGGACTAATATGGAGAAGTTAGTAAAAAGAACCAGGTCTATCCTCAGAATTAAAGTATTTAAGCTATTTTATTTTATTATAATAAATACCTCGGGTGGAATGAGGAATAAACTATGCAAGTGGTTGTGGAAAATACAAACGTTCCATCCCCAAAGAATTGGAATTCGCGAAATTCAGTTTAAGAAAACACAAAACGAAAAGTAAACAGTGTTTATTTTAATATTTTGGGTGTGTGAAGTTACTAGAGTCTTTCTTGAATAATACCGCTCTGAAATATGCCGGACTCGCCTTTGACTTTATTCAGTGGCTTGGCGTTGCCGACTGTGCGATTCCTCTAATTAGTCCACGGCCTTAATTACTCGTCGAAGAGAAATTCAGGAAGTCAGAGGCATGAACTAGGTTCTAGAGAAGGCGCGCCATATGTGGTTGAACGTCTCTAGCAAATGTGTAGTATTGCAATTATCTTTACTTCTATTTTGATGATCCTTGTCCATCCGGCTTTCCATCAGATTAGTGTAGTGGTTTAAAGTCAGGAGATTCTAAATTTGAATATCGGTCGGGTTTAGAGTTGTCTTTATAAGTAAGATTTTCTGTTATTTTCTTATTCCCGTCACTGCATTGTTGAGGAGGTAGTTTAGAATGTCTCAGTCGCCTCCTTCAATATTCTGACGCTGCATCCAAAAACTTCCTTAAATAACCCAGTAATCAAAAATGTATTTTTTCTATCGAGCATGGCCTCTTTATTCATTTGTCTACACCTACCTGTTTGCAGTTTATCTAGAATTCTGTGTGGTATTCTCTACGATTATGCCTCTTCGAACATTTATTTTTATTTCTGATAATTTCAAAATATGTACGTCCGTTTATTTCCATAGGCAATTGTTTGTTTCTCCATCTTCCGTTTCTGGTTAATATATTCGTCTTCATAGAAAATATTGCAGCTCAGGTTTTTGTTACGTTGGCCATGAACATTCTCTCGTCACCTTTTTTATCTCTTTATTCCAGTGCTCTTCAGAAGCTGACTTATTGTTGTTATACTTATTATTACTTTCCTTTTGCAAGTCAACACCAATTTCTAAGTCGATGTCCATATGTAAGTAAATTTTGTTGATAAACATTTAGATAAAATTCGATTTTTTATAGGCAGGTCCACCAAAATGTTAAACTCGTTGTTACTAACCTAGCCAGGAGTACAAAATGTATAACATAACAAAATATTATTAGACTACAATGTTAATGCGCCAGCCGACATTGTTAATACGTCTCTGTATTGGGGAGAAGGCAGTATATTACGTGAGTCCTAAACGTGAGCGATTCTCGGTATGTACACTACAGTTGGCGAACTTTCTGCCTGTTTCCAGCAGTGTGTGTGTGTGCTTCCGGTTCAAGGTCGTGGACACCATTTTGAGAAACGGTGTTCCGAGTACAAACAAATCGAAGAGCACCCATATAGAAACGCTCAACACAAAGAAGCAATGTCATTTAACGCTATATCTTATACATTTACCTGTTTATTTCGAGATGTAATTTCTACAAATTCACTCATTCGTTCAAACACATTTCACTTCTGAACTCCTTCAGCCGCGTCACTAGTTGCTTCACGCCGTAGTTATGCGGCAACTTCTCCGACACTTTCGTACAGCGTGAGATCTATACGAATCTTAGCAGGCGTTGGACTGTATTTGTTTTGTTGAAGATACGGTCCTTGAGAACGCTGCGTTAAAATTTCGATTTCTACGTAAGACGGAGAGCTGACCAGATAAGGCACTGTTAGGTTCTCGAGTAGGATTCCAGAGCTAATTTTAGATATTCTGTAGAAATTTGTGCATCAAGCGAAGGCTAATATAACTAAAAATTTACGAGATTGCAGATAGAATTTCAAATTTCGAATTTGTTTCCCTGAGGTATGAATAAGTTACGCCATGCTCTGAGCTGTTTAGTTGACTTTGATGTTACGTTTAATCTGAGGAGAAGCATCCTCTTTGAAACATGTCATACGGATACAAATATTTTAGTTGTAATCACTTTAAAAAGTCGGTTTGTGCCCAATTAACTTTCGAGTTTTTGCAATCCACAACTCATACATACACACACACATAAATTTCCCATTTCGCTACACTTTTAGTACACATAATATTTTTATCTGTCTGTTTATCTCTTTTGCCATTCTCTTGTCTAATATTCATCTTATTCTCTCATTCATATCTTATTTGAAGCTATCTTTATCGATATATCGACAATTCCACAGATATATAATTTCCAATATTCTTTAAATATACTATATTAATATATTTTATAATGTTCTTATAGCCTAGACCTCATTTATGATACGCCACTGAAAATATTTTCCATTCGGTGTAATCTCCCCCCCCCCCAAAAAAAAAAAAACACAAGGGAAATGCTTTCATTTCGCAATAAATTACCAGTGAGACATTTCATCTTATTTTTGGAAACATACTAGGCTTAATTTATCATTGCGAACATGTCATACGAACAATAGCCGAGTAGAAAGAAGTGATTGATTGATTGATTGAATGATTGATTGATACATACCCCGTAATGTTTTCTGAGACCACGAGCAGTGATGACACTAGTTTTGGGGCGGAGTTCCTCCGCGATGTAAGTGTGCATCTTGGCCAGTGAGTTGCCCATTTTGATACTTAGTTATCCCTCTGGAAACAAAATACAGTTCTCAACTATTTGGCTGTACGAGGAGAAATGTGATTTCATTAATAATAACATAATATATACGAAATTTGCTTTTCTCGACATCAGATTCGTTTCGTACATTACTCTTTGAACAGTGACATTGTTTTTGGGTCATCCTGTTTAGCCACGCACGCGACAGAATTAAGTTTATAAGATTTCAGATATTTCTGATAACAAGACATGCCCCGATTCTTATATAGGGTTTGTGGCAGTCGCAGGTTATGTTACCTTCCGCCTACAAAAATGCCAGAGAATGTAATTCTCCATACCATTTATTCCTCTAACCCAGGGGTTCCCAAAGTGTGGGGCGCGGCCCCCTGGGGAGGCGCGAGTGGTTTTCTGGAGGGGGGGGGGGTGTTGTATGTATGAAAAGCTTTTTTTAACGAAATATGGAGAAACATTTTTAACATACTTTGCTTGGTTGAGGCAGTTTAGTTGTCTAACAGTGCTGTATACTCATAGCTAAATTTTATGTCAAATCTGTTTGCTTCCACTTGTTCTGGAAGGGGGGGGGGATTTATGAAATGTTTTAAGGGGAGCGCAAGGTATAAAAATTTGGGAACCTCTGCTCTAACCCCATACAAATCTCAAGTGATTTTCTTTTATCAAGAGTCAAGACTGTAATCTTTTATCCATATTTCCCTTACATATTGCATTTATTTATGTTCACTATAAGAAGTTTAGAAAAGTAGCACACCGCTATATAGAGACCCCAGCTTTCACATTATGTGCAAGCTGCCATCTTTCCAGATACAAATTCAGTTGCCCAAACAAACATTTCCCATGTAGTATGTGAGGTGTAACTCAGACCTTGCTGTGTGTAATGAACTTGTTACAAATTCATGGACAGGGATTACAGATTGCTGGCTTCGATGTCTGTACTTGATTTATTCATACTGCGGTCCACGAACTACCAGAGGAGCAATACAAAACCTTCTTCCGTAACTTTGTTTACCTGCTTGCCTTTCCTAGTTTTGTTTATAAGCATTTCAAACAAAACTAGTAGAAACTATTTTCAAATGGAAACCAAAAATTTATTGTGGTTTTCGTCCGAAACGCTTTTATAAATAGTAACAGCCTGCCATTTTGAAATGTCAATATGAGAGACGATGAGAGAGATGATGATAAAGTATATTGGATAAAAGTGTGATAAGGAGAATGTTTGGACTCAACATACCCAAAGTAAAAAGAAGCCAAACATTGCAAAGGGGATAAGATGGACGGAGCATGTGACGCGCATAGGCGTGGTCAAAGATGTGTACAGGTTTTGATCTCTCAGAACCCGAACAGAAGAGACAATTTGCAAGACGTACGCGTCATTGTGTCCGTTAAGGCGATTTGGAATTCCAAACCTGACAAAGAAAATATACTAAACTGTCTGTCGAAACACGTTGCCTATGCAGTTCGTAGGCCTATATGTAATCATTTCATATTATATTTTTATATAAAATAATTTATCCCGCACTTTCGAGATAAGATTAATATATTTTTTTACTTTGAAAGATGTTAATCGCAGAAAGTGGTGTAAATTTAATAAAATATCAGCACTTTATAATAATTTGATATTCGTACACGTACACACGAAAGGTACAAAAATAATATTTTGAAATTTCTCCGCACATTGTGAGTTCCTTGAACAGGAATCTCATGGCCGATCCAAATGTAGCAGTACCAAAATATCGCGCCCCACTTGTGCATGCAAGATTATTTTCCAACCTTTCACAATCAAGTGAATAATTACACAATTTTTAGCAACAGTTCCTTTGACCTTTAGTTTTATTTAGAGGCCAGTTTCCTGTTTTTGTTTCCCGTGTCGTGACTAAATCGAATCTGAAATATTGAAGCCTGAAGTACAGTGGAGCGCCACACCCACGGGAGGTTCTGATCGATACGGACAGCCAACCCGAGTAACTGTCCAGGCAGTTAGCAGCAAAAAGTTCTAGGAAGAATTTCAAGTACTCAGATACTTTATGATGTTGTTATGAGGAAGTATGAATTAGGAATTTTACAAATAATATTCCACTTCAGTTCGTAATTTCCACTAGTTCAGATGCATTGTCAGATACGACCTTAGAGCTTCGACGTTCACCATGCTAAAAATATCAACACACGGAGTATGATTCATATGGGATTTGTAGGTACGTTTACGATCTATTTGCATGTATAACTCCGCCGATCTATAAGTTACGGGCACAGAGGAAGTTAAGTAGCCTCTAAGTTATATGTGAATGTATTCAATATTGCTTTTTATCTGGACTTAATCCATCGTTCAATATTTTTAAACTGTGACACTACCATTTGGAAGCTGACCGTACTCTCAGAAGCTCTCGCCTCTTCCATTTGTGTACTGATGCCAGGGAATTATAAGTACAGAGGCTAGTTGGCATTCTAGAGGCGCCATGTCCATATCAAATTATATTGAAACCAGTCAACTGCTTAAAAATTATTAGCAAGAATAAACACGTGGGCGGACACGCAAATTAAGGAGCAGAGTCCTTTGTGACAAGCCAGCAGATACTCAATAAATCCTCTGCCTTTTATGGAACCCGCAAGTACATCACCGCTTCACTCCCGAGGAAAAAGTCCCCAGTACTTGATCGATGAACCCTAGAGCCGGTCTCTTTGTCGTGGTGGGAGACAGGAATCCGATTCACTATAAGGGTTCGAACCCAGATTGTCCAGTGTGTAGCTTGGGCATTATTCTGATATTCAAATAAAAGATGTCGTGTATTGTAAGTGGTCTTTTTCTAAATCTAATATCTTGAATTGTGCTGTATGCAAAGTACGAATATAGCAGCTCAAAAAGTTTTCATTTGCTTTTATTGATCACTACTGTAGGAAGACGTTTATTAAGATTATTTTAAATAATCGTCTCTAACATTATTGTTCAATCGAGCAGTTGGAAAGCAACATGTGTTGTTCCTTACTCTTAGGGCGAAATCGACAGCAGAATTAAGCAAACTGATACAAATGACCCTGTGTATTAACCATATTGTTTATCAAAGTGCAAGCGAAACGCATATGTTAATCAATATTTGTCTCCCGTCCGCCCCGACCTTTTATAAACATCGAAAACTGTCAGTAGCTGCTCATTTATCAAATACGTTGGCTCTTTCTGTTCGAAATGGCATATATCGGTGATTGACACACGATATACACCACAGCGTTTCTCCATATTCAGACAGAATGTATGAGTTTTTTGTTGTTGCAATTGACATTATTGAATTGTACTGTTATCATAACAAAGGGAATCTTTCTACAGGACTATTTAAAACGTATTACTAAAAAAACTAACACAACTACGTAATAAATTATGATTTCATGGTATAGAAAATATTTCAAAAGTAGATAAACCTATGGAATGAACAGAGCGATAAAGACATGAAGCTCTTGTTAGCATCTGGCAAAATGGCAACTACGGAACTTGGAAAGGCATTTGTGCTCATTTTTACGCTCCTTAAAGCCCAGTGGTAACTATATGTACCACCTGCTTTAATAAGAAGTAGTTATGAATTTTGCCTACAAAGTATATTTATGAGGATGGTTGTTTACTGGGATAAATTCATCGCCCTGATGACGGAGGCAGCAGGCACCTCTGAAACGTCGGTAAACTTCTGCCAGACTACACGGCGCTACAGCTCAGAATACGACCATCTTTTGATTCACCGCCATGGAAACCTCAAAGCTTACATACACTGTTCTGTTCTTCAGACTTTTTTTTACGAATTACGCCTTCTAGCCCCTTCAGTTCAGAATAAACTTCTGAGATTCGATAGAATTCGTCCCTGGACGGGGGATCAGCTAATCGTAAGCCTGCTACCTACAGACAAACGCGGTGATTACATAGCCAGAACTCACATGATTTACTCTGTGTTTGGGACATTTCATGCTACTTAAGTTTCCTCAGAATTTAATGTCAAATGTAAATTATTTACGTTTTCTTCGATAGGGCGTCCTTTAAATGGAATATTCCGGTACATACTGTATACACCTCTGTGAAATACGCGTCTCAATGTCCTGTCAATCACTGAAAAACGGGGCAGGAATGTGATATTCCATAATAAACTTCTTCCACTTTCACGCAGATTACACTTTCACTTTCTCGCTGCGACTCTCGAAATTCAATTCTCCAGTCTGCATATCGACCTGTAGCGTAACAAGAGTTTCAAGTATCCGAACCACTGCCACACCACAGGTTTGCAGGTTTTCTCATCATCATCGTCTATTGTAGTAATGCAGTTTCTTGTATTCACATTTTGCAGGGTCATAATGTACCATTTAAAAAATCTAGTCATCCACGTACTACGTTCAAAAAATTAAAATCAAAAGCATGAAACTCTCTCTCTCTCTCTCTCTCTCTCTCTCTCTCTCTCTCTCTCCCCTGACCTCCCCCATGACACTCGGGTCAAATTCACCCTGGTTCCTAGGCCGTTAACTCAGGCCAGTTGCGAAAAACCTGTTCGGGGGCAAACATGGTCTAGTCATTTTCGATATCCTGGTAAGAAAGTAACGAATTAGACGGACTGGTAACAAAATTTCGGGACACAGGAAGAATGGATGCTTGGTTTTGAGCAGGTGGTGGACATTTTCTGTACCTGCTCAAAAACCACGAGGTATTCGTTAGAATACATTTAATTTTAGAAATTCTCCAGAACTTTTTTCTTGAGATATGCATTTCCAGTAGTTCTGGAGTATTTCCGGCGAGTATTCTGAGTCCTATTGAAGATTTCTTTCATTTGTCTCTCTTTACCCTTTCTGCCTCTTTCGCTGTATCTTTATTTTTATTTCTTTCCACTTTCTTTTCGCATTCTCTTTTGTTCTTCTTCTGCTTCTCTCTCTCTGTCTCCGTCTTTCTACCCACACGTGGAAGGACGGCAGGTTATTAGGTCATACGACGCGAAAGGGATGCAGGTGTGGTATTCCATCCTGAACTCTCATCCAGTTCTCCCGTAAGCTATAAACGTATAAGCTTAGTTTGTAGTCGTATTTACAAAATAAGATTCTTTTTTTAGCTAAGCAGCGAGAAAATTGATTCTGAACATCCATGCACATAATAATGCGCTCGTCTCATGGGCTAATGGATCAGTTGCACACATACATAACAGTCTGGTATATCGTCATCGCTTGGAATTTAAAGTCTGGTTTACTTTATTCATATGACGACGTTATCTTCAGCAATTCCTCCTCCCCCCCCCCCCCCCCCCCCACATAGATGTATTTTTGTAGGGTTAGGAATTCATGCCTCGTACAACGTAGGCTGACGATAAGAGTGCCACAAATTGAATTTGAAATGTGAAAACAGATTTAAAATCAAATTTTTGTACAAAACTAGTTCCTGTTTAAAGAAGTTTGTGTCTATTTAGGGTACCCATAATCCATTGCAAGTAATTGTCAAATTCTTAAAAAAAAATCTGTCTCTAAACTAAAAAGAAAATAATCTCTGGAAGGAACTTCTTATGCATAATTTCTTTCAGATGCAATCTAACTGATGAGGCTAACCAGAACTGTGAATTAATTAATAAATATACAATGAAGTTATTCTTTTCTGTAAATAATCACTTTCAGTAGAGATTCTTACTATGTTTATTTTATCAAACATGCTTCAACGTTCTGGGCAGTGACTATGTTTTTAATTAATAAAACAATGTTTTGTACATTATAATGTGTGTGTAGATGTCTGCCATTCCCAGTACACTACAGTTCAGTGCAATATATTCCTACTCCATAGCTGAATCATCTGACCGAGAATTAAATATAAATATATAGCCTATTTCCCGTGTGTCACCAAATTTCGCTTTTATAATATACAAGAAGTTGCCTTAATTATTGGTTCGAGATTTTTCGGAAATATATTTCCATCTAAAACTTCGCAATCCTACAGAAACTGCACAGCCGCCATATTGGTATTACTAAAAGGCCTGCACAATTTTGGTTTCTCATGGCGTCTACTATGGAGATTGTTTATGGACGTTTGGCCGATGTTTCAGAAGTGTTTGCTGCCGCCATTATCAGGGCTATCTAAACTTATATATTGAATGAATTTATTTGTATTAATTTATTCGTTTGTTCAAGCTATTCAGTCCTGAGCACATGACCACCCATCACATGAAATTACAATGGAGATTCTGGTCTATCTGAAGTCATTGATAAAACACCTTTGTTTTTAAAATCCAGACATTACATACTACATAAATTTGATCTTGTTTTCAAACAACTTGATAAATTTTCATGTTTAATTGAATGTTACTTCTAAGACTTCCCTTTTATCTCTTATATACTATACAGATCTTCAGGGATCACGTAAATTCCACGTTATTGAAACACGTTTGCTGTACCCACACACACATCCCCCCTCTTCTACGTCTAGATAGATCTGTTCGTATTTTAAACCTTCTGAACCATCTATGGCATAGACGTATAAAATAGTTATGGGACATCTCGAAGTTGAAGTGTGTTAATAAAGTACTTATCATTCCTCTATTTGATATAATTCAAGTAAAAGACGTACGAGCAATAATATAATTAGTCTTAAATTAAATTTGCGAAAGATAAAGTTGAAATTATTGAAATACGGAACGTAGTTTTACTTAAATTATTTATTGATACATTTTTTCATAAAATTAAAATTAGTGAAATAATTTAATTATATAAAATAAAACGAACTGATTAAATAGTAAACATTGTGGCTTCCTGTTTAAGAAATAAGTAGTAAAGGAATTTGAGCAATATATCTAATGTTATATACCTTTTTAATTCTACAAATGTTCATGAGGTTACAACTGTTTGTTGTCACACTATACAATTCTGACACACCACCAAAACGACACTAAATAAATTTGGATCATTAAGATGAACTGACAAATATCCATCACCTAGTAACGGAAATGTCTCGAAATATAGTAAATAACAAAGAATAACGAATAATTATAACGCGAAATAACAAAGATTTACCATTAATTGATATTAAAAAACTTACGATTAAAATATTTTTAATAGTTGAGAAAACTTTTACACACCTACACTTTTCCACGATAAGCGATTCTCTGAAAGTATCCACGCAAAATGTTTATCGACTAAATGACAAAACAGAATCCATGCAAATTACATAACACACAAAGTACCGTGAAGAAGATAGAAATTCCAAGTAATTGCTGTTGGAGGAATTTTTGTTTTCAGACCATGCACTACTATACAACAAAAATGTGCCACGAAACGAGTGTGTGAAACGCAAAAATAATATAGTAATTTTACTCCACGTAATAAGAAATAACATCTACAACATTTTTATATGTACAAAATCAACTACAAAATACGCTCGACTAGAAAAGAAGCCTTTCAAAAGAATAAATTGATTTCTCATCATGTATCTTACCTTCCGAATAACCGAGGTGAGAATTTTTTGGACGCCCTGTGCTCGCTACCTCAAGCTAGCAAACAAACGACTTGAGATATAGGAACAAAATGTAACGATAGGAACGGCAGTCAGCTGAAGCTCTGAGTACACGCCATGAAGATAAAACCATGTCATTTTTCTTCTTCTTCTTCCTTCTTTCCTTTCTGATTCCTTTCCTTTATTTTTACCCCTTCATTTACACTCACAGCTTTCAAATAAAACAGACTGTAAAATCCCACTGCAGAATTATTGTTGCTGGCTGTTGTGCGAAGTGTAGTTGTCGCGTGTGCCAACAGAGCGCGTGTTAAAAGTCGAATTTCAGCTGGCTGTGTTATTTTCTGAAGTTACAAATGAGCCCTATGTCGCAATTTGGTTAAATGTGAAACCGACGTGGATCTATGCGTATTTATGAATTAAAACGGGGAAATAAAAAAAGGTCGACGAGTTCTGTTTCGTGTTCATTTGTTTCATTTCCTTAGCTCCTAATACAAATTTCTGTCATGTCGATCAGTGTGTTCGTGACCGAAATTCATACCAAACGTTACAATTACCTTAATACATACACCGGTGTATCTTTATGTTTAAACAAATTAAATCAGTACAATTTTAATGTGGTAAAATATGTTGTATCGTTTAAAAAACAAAATGTGAAGGTAAATATGAATGTTCAGTTGGTAGTGATGTTAATGTCATTGTTGGAATGATGACGCTTCTGTTTTCCTGTTGTCTGTCTGTCCGTCCGTCCCTAAATCACCTTCTACTTCAACTGCACAGGTCGCAGGGTTAGTTCTATCTGCGTCGAGTCTGAGAAGTGAAAACTATGTCGACCGAAATGGCGAGCGAGCTGGCGACGAAGAATCGATAGCAAGAGAGGAGTGAGTCCCCCGCACACGCTCAAGCACTGCTCTCCCAATATGGATTAATGCCATTCCCCCCCCCCCCCTCTCCGCTGAGACATGCTGTCTCTCATCTACCAGAGGTTCTTCAAATGAACTGATATGACCCAAATTAACAAAGTACTTTTCTAATGACGTAATGTGGAAAACGGGTCCATTGCTGGAAGACAGATTTGTGTGTCTTAACTGCAGCGTGAACGTTAGATCTCTGGTATTGTTGTAACACGAAGTTTCAACGCAATAAAGCCGAGTCCTGTCATTCGGACATGGTCGTGATCATCTTCCATCCACCTCCCGTTCTCAATACATATTTTCCTGATAATATCGTTTTTGGTCTTCCAAATGATCGCTTTACAACAGGTTGTGTATACATTTCTTGTCTACCTGAGTTACAATTTCTATCGTAACATCATACGTTTCACCAGACTTGCTTTCTGTAGAATATTCGCATTATGTAATATCCTAACCCCTCATTAACTTTCATTCTTGTTATTTTAAAAGTGCTCTATTCTGGTATTTGTCCTCAGCCGTATGTATCCAGGTCACACATATTTTTAACAAAAAAAGTGTTCGATACAAAATCAAAAGACTGTAACGTCCTAACCATATGTGCATTCATCGTTAGAATTTCTTCGTTATACGTATTATACACTCAGTCTAATGTTATTAACAAGGTAACTCATACATAAACTTTTGTTCTATACCATGAATCTGTAATATTACACAGTCATATTACTGGGAAAATTAATCAGTTAAACTGTAGACGAAATTAATTAATTTATCAGACAACTGGTGGGAGACAGTGTTTCAGATTTTTGTATTGTTTCAATTAAAATAATAAATAGTTGTTTTACAGGATGTGAATTTAAAATTGTAATATAATTATGATTTAAAACGTAAATACTTGAATTAACTATCGCCCTAACATGTATTTATCACGTATATTTTATATATCCTATTAATCCTCCTTCAGCTGTAATAATAGTTCGGTAACAATTTAATTTATTTTCTTATTCATATTACAAATTAACCTCATAAACCAATTAGCTTATTCAGTACTTGAGGCATAAGTGACCGTAAGTTAACTGCTTCAACAGAACGTCTGTATAGTAAATTAATTTACATCCTCTGACATAGGCTGATCCGATCTATTAAATTACCTACGTTCCATATATAGCAGAGTTGGTGAACGTGTAATCGCCATTTTCCTCTCAGTTCTCCGTATTCATTAACAAAAACCACTCATCACAGCAAATATAGCCGGCAGGTATCTGGTACAAAATCGATAGGACTTTCGCGCGCAACGGGTTCAATGACCTCTGGTGTGCCCCAAAACATTTTGTTTTCTTGGGCGTTTTATGGAAAAGTATTTACAAGAACCTTATATCGTGTACTTTTATTAGCCAAATTAATCAAGTCCACATTCTTATATTTAATTTCTTTAAGATCAATTTTAATATTATCCTCTCCCATGCCACGCCCATTTCATCCTTCTTGATTTTATTACCCTAATTTTCTGAAGCATGCAAATTATGACGATCACAATTGTACAATTTTCGTCAGTCCTCTTAGGTGCACATGCACTCGCCAGTTCTTTGTTTTCAAACGCCTTTAATCTGCGAGAAACCAAATTTCCCACCCATAATAAATAACATGTAAAAATACATTTTTCGTAGTAGATAAACTATATTTTATAATCTTTACGTTTCATATAGGAAAAGAAAAGACAGATTCTAAACTTTTTATGAGGTCTAAATAGTATTTCTTTCGAGAAATACAGCGGCGATCACGTTTTCAGATTGTGACTTTTGTACTTCGCACAGTCTGGTACAAAATCAATTGACGGGATTAGAAAATCTCCATTCACACGATCATTTGCAGAGACTTTTTTATGTATCATTACATCACAATTGTACTACATTTTCGTCTGTTTGAAATTATCTTCAGAAGAATAAAATAGTTCACAAGATTACATTTTAATAGTCGTATCGTAGTTATAACATAAAAAGGCAAATATGTATAGATACCATGTGTAATTAAATTATTACGGCCTCTGAATCAACGTTAAGCATAACATTGAGCTCTTTAGCTGCTTTTAATGGTTTGCAAAGCAGCATAACTTTTGCCACAATAAAATAATTTCATATATAAACATATAAAAATGTATGTATGTATAAAGTCTCAAAATGTAAAATTCCGTAAAACATATTTTGTAACTTATCGTTATCAAGCTGTAAAATATAGGCTACACAAATTTTACAGCGTAGCTGCTTTATTTATTTTAAATTTCTAACAAAAATGTATAATCGAAAACAGTTATTTCAATATTTTTGTATTTAGCATATGTTTGCTGTTTTGTACAATTTTGTCACACACTTGGATTTACAGCGAATATCACGCTGTAGTACGGAATAGGATTTTTGAGTCACTGAAATCTTTCGGTATTCGATCGTGACACATTCAGATGGTCTTCGCAAGGCTGCTGGCTGGTTAAATGAGCAGTCTGTATCAGGTAACAGGTTAAATTGTTCCCAGAAAATACTGCATTTGATAGCCATGTTACTGACATTTGTTCCCAGCGAAATATTACTACGTGTAAAACAGAGAATTTCCAATAAATACAAATACAAACCACGTGTTTAAATTAGCTGCAGGGTGTATAAACAGTTGCTGGCAAGCGAATGTACTACTACTAGCGTGTACGTTAGAATTGCACCGAAATACACTAAATGCATTAATCTTAAATCTATCGCTGTTTGTATGCACAAGAGGACAGAGAAATATTTCTGTAATACTGGATTTCATTGATTAAGACCCAAAGAATGGTTTTATGAGTTTCATAATATTTAAGTCTTATAGGCTAAACTGGCTTATGAAACTACATTTGGAGACTAATCACCTAACTGGATTGGCGTTGAAATGCATAAAAAACCAGTGGTCTACTGCGTTCCAGCGTTTTTGGCCGATGAACTTTGTGAACTGGAAACTCGCAGCGAGTAACTTACCACTGGTTTGCTAGAAGGGGTGGTAGCAAGCCGCGTACAGTACACTCCAATATTTACAAAGCGTGACCAAGCATGACAAAGCGTGACTAGGCGTGATATACTGCAATGGGGTGACGAGAAGTGGCCAGAAATGTCGAAACGTGACGAATATTTACAAAGCGTGACAAACCGTGACAAGGCATGATGTACTGTAACGGAGTGACGAGATGTGGCCAGAAATGTCGAAACGTGACGAATATTTACAAAGCGTGACCAAGCATGACAAAGCGTGACTAGGCGTGATGTACTGCAATGGGGTGACGAGAAGTGGCCAGAAATGTCTAAACGTGACGAATAATTACAAAGCGTGACCAATAGTGACCAAGCGTCACTAGGGGTGATGTACTGTAACGGAGTGACGAGATGTGGCCGGAAATGTCGAAACGTGACAAATATTTACAAAGCGTAACCAAGCGTGACCTAGAGTGACAAAGCTTGCCTAGGCGTGACCTGCTATAAAGGCGTAACGAGTGGGTATCATAAGTGTTAAAATACGACAAAGGTTTTAAAAGAAGGTCAAAGCGTCACCAAGCGTGACTAGGCGTGACGTACTGCAACGAGGTGACGATTTGTAGCAATCAGTGTCAAAAAGTCTCAATTTTTTTTAAAAAGTTACCTAACCCAACAATATCCACTAAACATAGTTAACCTAACCTAACTCAACCAAACCTAACCTAACCCAAACAAACCCAACCTAACCTAACCCAACCTGTCGTAACTTCATCTAACGCATTGCAAAGTAGCAAAAATTAACCGAGCCGGGCGTAACGTAACCTAAGCGTTCCGTTACGTGACTTAGTGACCAGGCGTGCTCAAGCGTGACAAAGCGTGACTAGGCGTGATGTACTACAACGAAGTGACGAGATGTGGCCAGAAATGTCGAAACGTGAATATTTACAAAGCGTGATCAACAGTGACCGAGCGTGACTAGGCGTGATGTACTGTAACGGAGTGACGAGATGTGGCCGGAAATGTCGAAACGTGACGAATATTTACAAAGCGTGACCAAGCGTGCGTAGGCGTGACCTGATATAAAGGCGTAACGAGAGAGTATAATAAGTGTTAAAAACGACGAAGATTTGAAAATAGGGTCAAAGCGTAACCAAGCGTGACTAGGGGTGACATACTGCAACGACGTTACGAATTGTAGCCATCAGTGTCAAAAAGTCACAAAATTTTTAAAAAAGTTACCTAACCTAACAATATCCACTAAACAAACTTAACCTGGTCATGTACTGTTGGTCTAAGTTAGGTTAGGTTAGGTTGACTTGGCGCATGCGGATCATGGTATTGACGTCATGATGATCCCACCTCATAACTTCGAACATCCATGGGGACGGTATGGAGTAAAGTCCGTCCTGAGAATTCAGCAGTTCGAAAAACTTTCGCCTATTATACTTCCAGAAGATTCTTTACCGTGTTTGCAAGAACCCAGCAGTGGGCCCTGCCCCGAGCCCTGTGACTCCAGAAACCAATCCACACAAAAATGGAAACTAACTCGTAATTCAACACGTGGTGCCTGAAACCGTAGTGGTGATTTCACTCCCAGGAATTTGAATATACTAGAATAGAATAGGATAGTTTCGAGTTTAATTTTAATTAACGCGGTGTCCAAGTACATTAGATACTACTATATAAATGAAACGTTAGTTCCAAATGCATTGAAGTGTGACATGTGTAACGTGTAGTTCCGTAATTTCCGAAAGAATACGAATTGGTTTTCTGACATGGACAAAATGTTAAGGGATGTTTTGTTTAAGGGACACAGCAATGCTATTTGAGGTTACTGGATTTGATATTTACCTTAGCGAAGAACACTTTGTGCCTGAATGATGGACGTGAAGTTGACCTTGCCTGCTTTATCACCACGTTTCTTGGAGCTTTCTTATTGTTATTCAGAGACATTGGTATGTATGCCTTTTTGCATTATTGAATTTAATATACCGAATACCAGAGGAAAGAGGAGTGATACTTATATAATATATAAACAACTTTTTTGTGATTAGTCAGACTGTGTTGAAACTAACCTCAGCTTGGCAAGGTTTCGGTTTCTCACATTGGTGAGTGTGAAGATGACTGTCTTCTCAGATGTTTCAGTGTGTAGTCTGATGGAAGTTTATCAGCATCAAAGGTGCTTGCTGCCACTATCATCAGGGCAATTAGTGACTGATGATGGAGGCAAGTGTCAGTAAGATTCTGCCACACTACACACATAACATTCAAGAAGACAGTTTTCTTATAACCTAAACTTTTCAAATTGTCATTGTGTAGAATATCATGTAAGACAGACAAATACTTGTGTCTTGTTGGATCACAAACATCAGATAAATTGATTTGAAGTTGTTTTTATATTTCTATAACAGTTCAAACTTGAATTAAAATTTAATTTAGATATTGTTTGTCATGGTAGTAAGTTTACTAATGAAACAAATTGTTTTAGAAGTAAGAATGTAAATAATGTTTTGTATGTACTTAAGAGCTCATAGATAGAAAAGTCGTAAGATTTCTTTTTATGTTGCAGGATGTGAAACAACTTGAAATACACAATGGCTGTACTTTTCCATTTGCAGTTGGCCATACATACCTGGCAACTGTGATGAGTGCGCGACAACTTTCATATGGATGCGAAGTAAAGAAGACTGTAGAACTTTGTTTAGATGTTCAGGTGATTGATTAGTGCTTGTATTATTTCAGTTATATTTTGTACTTAAAATATCATGTTATTTGCATGTTTGTATGATACTGGGTGGGTATGATATCAGGCCAGTAGTTGTTTCCCAAACTATATCCTCTAAATGGTGCATCAAAAAAAAAATTTAGTTCACACTTCACTCTACATAAACATTCTTAAAAGTTAAAAATGTTGGCACATGGTACTGAGAACCCTGTGGCCTGGACTGGGCTGTAGATTGTGTCAAACATGGTTATACAAACAGCCCAGGGAGTTGTTTGCAAGGGGATCCATTAGCTGATGAGCCAGTGGGATGCATGCCTCAATGCCCACGAGGACTATTTTTAATAGCCTGTACTTTTTCACCCAAAATAATTTCTGAATTGTTTTCATTTGAACAAACCTCATATTTATTCTCATGGTCACACAAAATTGTCTCATAAAACTTAAAGAATTATAGGACACTGGGCTTTTTGGGTTGACTGAAATCTTATTTGTTTTACCTATTGCAAAGTCATAGTCTTTAGACTTCAAAGGCAAGTAATTTGAAAAAGAATGTTACAAGATTGTTGGATGAATATGTTTTATGGCATGTGACAATGGTTTTTGTAGCTGAAGAATTTTTCTGGTGTTACTATCACTTCTCATTGATGTTAGTTTAGGTGTTTGGGGAAAAAACATATTGGTATTATATTTTCATTTCTTTGTTTGTTACCTTTATATCATTAATATTAAAAATAAATAAGTTGTTACTAAATGGTTGATGCCTTGAGTTTAACTTCAAGGGTTGCACTGGGAGGAAAAAATTTAAAGAATCTTTGCTTTGTTGCACAAGACTCAGAAGTGACAGTGAAACTAATGCAGTTGTATATATTACTTGGGAGATTTAACGTTTTGGCAGGGTTCTGGTATTGAATATCAACCAGGGGACACGGTAGGTGTAATTCCTCAAAATTCCGAAGATGAAGTTCAGAAGATCATGAAACATCTCAAGATATTGGAAAGAGCTGACACTGTTGTTACTATATCGGTGAAACCTGGGACTGTGAAGAAAAAAGCATGTGTTCCACCCTACATTCCAGTGAAAGCAACCCTCAGGCATATCTTACAGACTTGTCTTGACATTAGGGCTGTCCCCAAAAAGGTAAAGACATATTTTCTTTGTTTAAACAAGAATCCATATGCTATTTTTTAAACATCTGGGTGTATAATAAGCCATGTTGATTAGCACACGTACATGTGCACACACACACACACACATAACACTGGCAATGCAATAATTAATCATTTGGTGTCTCGTCTGACATCATGGTGACCTCAATAATTTCACTACATTAAATTTTAAAGGTAAGTGGTGATTTTAATTTTTATATGCTGCTTAGTGGAAACATTGCTTTGAAACAAAAGACTCTTCATCCATGGCCTACTATGTACATGTAACACAACAAAACAGATGTTTCATGTTGTAATCATTCAGTACGCAAAGATAGGTTATGTTTTTAATTTTTATATTCTGCATTCTTAGATTTTTCAGTAAAAAGTTGCTTTTTAAGTACTGCTTTTAGATTTTCTCATCATTTTAGTGGGGCAATTTGCTGGTCCATTTTAATGTTATCCTACTATTTGTAAGATTTCCTGTCAGGTTTCCTGACTAAAATTGTATATGTATTTGTAATTTTCTGCATGGTTGCTTACCAGGATACTATAGTAATGATTGTGTGACTCAGTA